GGACTTGGAGGACATGGGGAATTGAGGTGGTGCCCTCCCAGCCTTGCAGGACTTGGAGGACATGGGAAGTTGAGGTAGTGCCCACTAGCCTTGCAGGACTTGGAAGACATGGGGAGCAGCGGTGTCACCCACCCCTTAGGATGTCACCTGGTTCGGTCCGCACCGCCCGCACCTCCATAGTGTCACCCCGATGAGTGGGATGCCTAGATCTCCTTTGGTGAGCCAGAAGGAGGAAAGTGGGATCCCCAAGTGAGGATGGGGGACCGAAGCATGCCTTTCAGAAACTCCAGATGGTGATTCATAAAAATAGTCAGATATTCAGATCATTTTGGGATCTGTTGTGTGTGGGAGGCTTCTAATAATCATCATCATCATCATAATGAAATTTATTTGTATCCCACCTCCCTGTAAAATACAACCGAGGCGGCTTACATGATAAAACGAACAATCCTGTCCCCCAATAGCCCACCCCCCTAAAATACAATTAAACAACATACACAACATCTGTTGTTGTGTGCCTTCAAGTCATCATAGAGTTTCCTTGGAAAGTTTTTTCAGAGGGAGTTTGGCATTGCTGTCCTCTGAGGCTGAGAGAGTGTGACTTGCCCAAAGTCACCCAGTGAGTTTATATGGCTGGGCTCGGATTCAAACCCTGATCTCCAGAGTCATAGTCCAACACTCAAAGCACTACACTGTGCTGGCTCTCTTGCCTGTCTTGTTCTGTGAAAAGAGATATTTTCTCCATCCTCACAAACAGAAATGTGAAATTTCCAGAAATTTTGAAGCCACGCAGAGGGAGAATAGTTTTTATCCTAGGGGAAAAAAAAAAGCAAACCAAAATTTTTCAGAAAATTCAACATTTATTTTAAAATATTAGCACCCTTTAGAGGTTGAAAGTAACTTTGTTACTTTAGGATGTCTTGTGTATAATTATTTTTTGCTACAAAATTATCATGCTTGGGATAGAAGAAGTAAATGGTATTCAGACAATCATTACAAATAGCATTTCCTTTTTAAGATTGTTATGATCATTGTTATTATTTTGTTCTAACTGGAGCTGGAAGGTTTTACGTTGCACTGTAAACAACCTCTTTGCAACTTTATTAACACAGAGCAAAAACAATAAAAACAGAAGAAGGCATCAACATTAGTAAAACACCAGACATTATTTTGTTTCCTCTCTGTAGTGTCAAACAGATATAAAGCCACTCCATCCCTGTAAAAAGAAGCAAGAAAAGGAATGTAAGACCAGGAATTGCAATGATCAGATGCTCTGTGTTCTCTTACACACAAATCTTTTGAGTTACATACGAGTTTCTAAGAAATAATTTTGGGAGAGTAAATACGTGAACCCCTTGCAAAGTGTTTCTTAGCATCCTAAAAGATAATACTCCATACTCTATTTTTAATTTTCCAGGTTTTTCCATTTTTTTTCCTGTTAAAAAAGGCTTTGCTACCTATTTATTGGGTTTAGACAGAAACTAAAAGTGGAAAAACTTTTGAAGAGTAAGACCCAACTGAGAGATGGGGAAGTATAGAATGAATGCTTTTTTCTTATAGAATGAATGTTTTTTAATGTTTTAATGTTTTTTTAATGCTTACGGTAATTTTTTGTTAGGTTACGTTTAGAATGGATGCGTCTGGCTTGTTTGTATGTATACTTTGTTTTTGGGAATGTGTTGTGGTGTTTGATGTGATGTGTCAATATTTTTAAAAAAGCTTTACTGATGATGATGATGATGATGATGATATCCTGTTTTTCCTCTGAATTGTTTCAATTTTAATTCAGGCTTCTCAGAAGCACTTTTTAAAAATGTGGTTTCTCAGTTCCCAAAGGCTTCACAAAACATGGGAAACTGAGGCACCCATCATAGTATCTCCCACAGCTGGACAGAGATATGAAGAGAAGAAAGTTGCATGTTGTGTTGGAGTTTTGCATGCCTTGTGACAGCAGCAAAGTTTGATGGAATACCATAGTAATATGACCAGGATGATCCCTTTTGTATGCTGTAACATTGTGGTTGCAGAACATAGACTGTGCAGCCCCCAGAACACAGTATTTGAAAAGGTTACTCTATATGCTATAACTGAGAGCCAGTTTGGTGTAATGGTTTGAGTGTAGGATTCTGGGAGACCAGGGTTCAAATCCCCACTCAGC